CCACCACCGCCACCACCACCACCACCACCACCGCCACCACCACCACCGCCACCACCACCACCACCACCACCGCCACCACCGCCACCACCACCGCCACCACCACCACCACCACCACCACCACCACCACCGCCACCACCTCCACCACCGCCACCACCACCACCACCACCACCACCGCACCGTCGCCGCGTCCTCTGCTGCCTCCTCCGCCGTTCTCCGGCGCCGGCCTTGCCGCTCGCGGCCGGCCCCTTAGCCGGGGCGGCCGCGGCCGGGCACCGGCGTTGCCGGGGCGACGTCGCCGCGGCGACGGCGGCCGCCGTTGCCGTGGCGACCGGCGGCTGTGAGAGGCTGCAGTAGCGCAGGAGCAAGCGGCCGCCCACGATCTTCTGGATGACCGCACGGCGCATCCGCGACACCCGGGACTTGTCGACCACCTCGAGAGCCGAGCCCACACGGGCAGAGACACGCATGGCGGAGAGCACCTGGACGGGCAGGCACAGCAGACACTCAGTTAGACACTCAGTTAGACACTCAGTTAGACACTCAGACAGACACACACACACACAGACACTCAGTTAAACAGAGACACGCATGGCGGAGAGCACCTGGACGGGCAGGCACAGCAGACACTCAGTTAGACACTCAGTTAGACACTCAGTTAGACACTCAGACAGACACACACACACACAGACACTCAGTTAAACAGAGACACGCATGGCGGAGAGCACCTGGACGGGCAGGCACGCGGACACTCAGTTAGACACACAGACACTCAGTTAGACACTCAGTTAGACACTCTGTTAGACACTCAGTTAGACACTCAGTTAGACACTCAGTTAGACACACAGACACTCACACACTCACACAGACACTCACTCACACAGACACTCACTCACACAGACACTCACTCACTCACACAGACACTCACACAGACACTTAAACAGAGACACGCATGGCGGAGAGCACCTGGACGGGCAGGCACAGCGCTTAGACACTCTCAGTTAGACACACTCAGTTAGACACTCTCAGTTAGACACTCAGACAGACACTCAGACAGACACTCAGTCAGACACACAGACACTCACACTCACACAGACACTCACACACACTCACACAGACACTCACACACACTCACACAGACACTCACACACACACTCACACAGACACTCACTCACACAGACACACACACAGACACTCAGTTAGACACTCAGACAGACACTCACTCACACAGACACTCACTCGGTCACTCACTCGGTCACTCACTCAGTCACTCACACAGTCACTCACTCAGCCACTCACTCAGCCACTCACTCAGCCACTCACTCAGCCACTCACACAGACACTCACACAGTCACTCACACAGTCACTCACACAGTCACTCACTCAGACACTCACTCAGACACTCACTCAGTCACACAGTCACTCACACAGTTACTCACACAGTCACTCACATAGACACTCACACAGTCACTCACACAGTCACTCACACAGACACTCACTCAGCCACTCACACAGACACTCACACGGTCACTCACACGGTCACTCACTCGGTCACTCACTCAGTCACTCACACAGACACTCACACAGACACACACACAGACACTCACACAGTCACTCACAGGCACTCACACAGTCACTCACACAGTCACCCACTCAGACACTCACACAGTCACTCACACAGACACTCACTCAGCCACTCACACAGACACTCACACAGACACACACACAGACACTCACACAGTCACTCACAGTCACTCACACAGTCACTCACACAGTCACTCACACAGCCACTCACACAGACACTCACACAGTCACTCACACAGTCACTCACTCACACAGTCACTCACACAGTCACTCACACAGTCACTCAGTCACTCGAGGTGGTGGTGGACTAGGTGGTGGACTAGGAGATGGTGGACGTGGACTAGGAGATGGTGGACTAGGTGGTGGACTAGGTGGTGGACTAGGAGTGGTGGACTAGATGGTGGACTAATAGATGGTGGACTAGGTGGTGGACTAGGTGGTGGACTAGATGGTGGTGGTGGACTAGGAGATGGTGGACTAGGTGGTGGACTAGGAGATGGTGGACTAGGAGATGGTGGTGGTGGACTAGGAGATGGTGGACTAGGTGGTGGACTAGGAGATGGTGGACTAGGAGATGGTGGTGGACTAGGAGATGGTGGACTAGGTGGTAGACTAGGTGGTGGACTAGGTGGTGGTGGACTAGATGGTGGACTAGGTGGTGGACTAAGAGATGGTGGACTAGGTGGTGGACTAGATGGTGGTGGACTAGGAGATGGTGGACTAGGTGGTGGACTAGGAGATGGTGGACTAGGTGGTGGACTAGGAGATGGTGGTGGTGGACTAGGAGATGGTGGACTAAGTGGTGGACTAGGAGATGGTGGACTAGGAGATGGTGGTGGTGGACTAGGTGGTTGACTAGGTGGTGGACTAGGTGGTGGTGGACTAGGTGGTGGTGGACTAGAAGATGGTGGACTAGGTGGTGGACTAGGAGATGGTGGACTAGGTGGTGGTGGTGGACTAGGTGGTGGACTAGGTGGTGGTGGACTAGGTGGTGGTGGTGGACTAGGTGGTGGTGGTGGACTAGGTGGTGGACTAGGTGGTGGACTAGGAGATGGTGGACTAGGTGGTGGTGGTGGACTAGGTGGTGGACTAGGTGGTTGACTAGGTGGTGGACTAGGTGGTGGACTAGGTGGTGGACTAGGTGGTGGTGGACTAGATGGTGGACTAGGTGGTGGACTAGGTGGTGGACTAGGTGGTGGTGGACTAGGTGGTGGACTATGAGATGGTGGACTAGGTGGTGGACTAGATGGTGGTAGACTAGGTGGTGGTGGACTAGGTGGTGGACTAGCTGGTAGACTAGGTGGTGGACTAGGTGGTGGACTAGATGGTGGTAGACTAGGTGGTGGTGGACTAGGTGGTGGACTAGCTGGTAGACTAGGTGGTGGACTAGGTGGTGGACTAGGTGGTGGACTAGGTGGTGGTGGACTAGGTGGTGGTGGACTAGGTGGTGGTGGTGGACTAGGTGGTGGACTAGGTGGTGGACTACGTGGTGGACTAGGTGGTGGACTAGGTGGTGGACTAGGTGGTGGTAGACTAGGTGGTGGTGGACTAGGTGGTGGACTAGCTGGTAGACTAGGTGGTGGACTAGGTGGTGGACTATGAGATGGTGGACTAGCTGGTGGACTATGAGATGGTGGACTAGGTGGTGGACTAGCTGGTAGACTAGATGGTGGACTAGGTGGTGGACTAGGTGGTGGTAGACTAGGTGGTGGTGGACTAGGTGGTGGACTAGGTGGTGGTGGTGGACTAGGTGGTGGACTAGATGGTGGACTAGGTGGTGGTGGTGGACTAGATGGTGGACTAGGTGGTGGACTAGGTGGTGGACTAGCTGGTAGACTGACCTGTGTGTGGAAGTCCGCTGTGAGTGTGGAGGCCCCCGTGAGAGCCTTCACCAGGAAGCCTCTCCAGTTCACCGTCTTCTGTTGAATGGCTGCAGACACAGAGACACGGGGACACGGAGACACAGACACAGAGACACGGGGACATGGGGAGAGACACAGAGACACGGGGACACGGAGACAGAGACACAGAGACACGGGGACAGAGACAGAGACACAGAGACACGGGGACATGGGGAGAGACACAGAGACACGGGGACAGAGACACAGAGACACAGATATACAGAGACACGGAGACAGAGACACAGACACGGGGACAGAGACACGGGGACAGAGACACAGAGACACAGATATACGGAGACACAGACACAGAAACACAGAGACACAGGGACACAGAGACACAGACACAGAGACACAGACATACAGAGACACAGACACAGAGACACAGAGACACGGGGACAGAGATACAGAGACACGGGGACACAGAGACACGGGGACAGAGACACAGAGACACAGATATACAGAGACACAGACACAGAGACACGGGGACAGACACAGAGACACAGAGACACGGGGACACAGAGACACGGGGACAGAGACACAGAGACACAGATATACAGAGACACAGACACAGAGACACAGAGACACGGGGACAGAGACACAGAGACACGGGGACACAGAGATACGGAGACACGGGGACATGGGGACAGAGACACAGAGACACGGGGACAGAGACACGGGGACAGAGACACAGAGACACAGAGACACGGGGACAGAGACACAGAGACACGGGGACACAGAGATACGGAGACACAGAGACACGGTGATGTGAGGATGATGGCGATGTGGTAATGATGGTGATGGTTGTGATGGTGATGTGATGGTTGTGATAGTGATGTGGTGATGTGGTGATGATGGTGATGATGGTTGTGATGATGGTGATGGTGATGATGGTTGTGATGATGATGTGATGATGGTGATGGTTGTGATGGTGATGATGGTGACGGTGTTGTGACTCACTGTGTGGTGGTATGAGCGGCTTGCCCAGGGCTGCACACCAGCCGATGGGATGCACGTCCAGCGTGACGATGGTGATGTGATGGTGATGTGGTGATGTGATGTTGATGATGGTGATGGTTGTGATGATGATGTGGTGATGATGGTTATGGTTGTGATGGTGATGTGATGGTTGTGATGGTGATGTGGTGATGATGGTTGTGATGGTGATGTGGTGGTGGTTGTGATGGTGATGTGGTGATGGTTGTGATGGTGATGTGATGGTTGTGATGGTTGTGATGGTGATGTGGTGATGATGGTGATGGTTGTGATGATGATGACGGTGTTGTGACTCACTGTGTGGTGGTATGAGGGGCTTGCCCAGGGCTGCACACCAGCCGATGGGATGCACGTCCAGCGTGACGATGGTGATGTGGTGATGTAGTGATGGTTGTGATGGTGATGTGGTGATGATGTGGTGGTGATGTGGTGATGTGATGGTGATGGTTGTGATGGTGATGTGATGCTGGTGGTGTTGTGACTCACTGTGTGGTGGTATGAGGGGCTTGCCCAGGGCTGCACACCAGCCGATGGGATGCACGTCCAGCGTGACGATGGTGATGTGATGGTGATGATGTGATGATGGTTGTGATGGTGATGTGATGCTGGTGGTGTTGTGACTCACTGTGTGGTGGTATGAGGGGCTTGCCCAGGGCTGCACACCAGCCGATGGGATGCACGTCCAGCGTGACGATGGTGATGTGATGGTGATGATGTGATGATGGTTGTGATGGTGATGTGATGCTGGTGGTGTTGTGACTCACTGTGTGGTGGTATGAGGGGCTTGCCCAGGGCTGCACACCAGCCGATGGGATGCACGTCCAGCGTGACGATGGTGATGTGATGGTGATGATGTGATGATGGTTGTGATGGTGATGTGATGCTGGTGGTGTTGTGACTCACTGTGTGGTGGTATGAGGGGCTTGCCCAGGGCTGCACACCAGCCGATGGGATGCACGTCCAGCGTGACGATGGTGATGTGATGGTGATGATGTGATGTGATGTTGATGGTTGTGATGGTGATGTGATGGTGATGTGATGATGATGGTGATGGTTGTGATGATGGTGATGATGGTGATGGTTGTGATGATGATGTTGGTGGTGGTGTTGTGACTCACTGTGTGGTGGTATGAGGGGCTTGCCCAGGGCTGCACACCAGCCGATGGGATGCACGTCCAGCGTGACGATGGTGATGTGATGGTGATGATGTGATGTGATGTTGATGGTTGTGATGGTGATGTGGTGATGATGGTTGTGATGGTGATGTGATGGTGATGTGATGCTGGTGGTGTTGTGACTCACTGTGTGGTGGTATGAGGGGCTTGCCCAGGGCTGCACACCAGCCGATGGGATGCACGTCCAGCGTGACGATGGTGATGTGGTGATGATGGTGATGTGGTGATGTGATGGTGATGTAGTGATGGTGATGTGGTGGTGGTTGTGATGGTGATGTGGTGATGATGGTTGTGATGGTGATGTGGTGATGGTTGTGATGATGATGACGGTGTTGTGACTCACTGTGTGGTGGTATGAGGGGCTTGCCCAGGGCAGCACACCAGCCGATGGGATGCACGTCCAGCGTGACGATGGTGATGTGGTGATGATGGTGATGTGGTGATGGTGATGTGGTGATGATGGTGATGGTTGTGATGGTTGTGATGGTGATGTGGTGATGGTGATGTGGTGATGATGGTGATGGTTGTGATGGTTGTGATGGTGATGTGGTGATGATGGTGATGGTTGTGATGGTGATGTGGTGATGGTGATGTGGTGATGATGGTGATGGTTGTGATGGTTGTGATGGTGATGTGGTGATGATGGTGATGGTTGTGATGGTGATGTGATGGTGATGTGATGACGGTGTTGTGACTCACTGTGTGGTGGTATGAGGGGCTTGCCCAGGGCAGCACACCAGCCGATGGGATGCACGTCCAGCGTGACGATGGTGATGTGATGATGGTGATGTGATGGTGTTGTGATGCTGCTGGTGGTGTTGTGACTCACTGTGTGGTGGTATGAGCGGCTTGCCCAGGGCAGCACACCAGCCGATGGGATGCACGTCCAGCGTGACGATGGTGATGTGGTGATGTGATGTTGATGATGGTGATGGTTGTGATGGTGATGTGGTGATGATGGTGATGGTTGTGATGGTGTTGTGATGTTGGTGGTGGTGTTGTGACTCACTGTGTGGTGGTATGAGGGGCTTGCCCAGGGCAGCACACCAGCCGATGGGATGCACGTCCAGCGTGACGATGGTGATGATGTGATGATGGTGATGGTTGTGATGATGATGGTGGTGGTGGTGTTGTGACTCACTGTGTGGTGGTATGAGGGGCTTGCCCAGGGCAGCACACCAGCCGATGGGATGCACGTCCAGCGTGACGATGGTGATGTGATGGTGATGTGGTGATGATGGTGATGGTTGTGATGATGTGATGATGGTGATGGTTGTGATGCTGTTGGTGTTGGTGTTGTGACTCACTGTGTGGTGGTATGAGGGGCTTGCCCAGGGCAGCACACCAGCCGATGGGATGCACGTCCAGCGTGACGATGGTGATGTGGTGATGATGTGATGGTGATGGTTGTGATGGTGATGCTGTTGGTGTTGGTGTTGTGACTCACTGTGTGGTGGTATGAGGGGCTTGCCCAGGGCTGCACACCAGCCGATGGGATGCACGTCCAGCGTGACGATGGTGATGATGTGATGATGGTGATGGTTGTGATGATGATGGTGGTGTTGGTGTTGTGACTCACTGTGTGGTGGTATGAGGGGCTTGCCCAGGGCTGCACACCAGCCGATGGGATGCACGTCCAGCGTGACGATGGTGATGTGGTGATGATGGTGATGGTTGTGATGATGATGGTGGTGTTGGTGTTGTGACTCACTGTGTGGTGGTATGAGGGGCTTGCCCAGGGCAGCACACCAGCCGATGGGATGCACGTCCAGCGTGCACAGGTTGCACCAGAAGTCACAGGAAGAGTCCTCCCCAAAGCCCTCGTAGCGAAGCAGCGCACGCAGGCCTGAGGTGGGGGGGTGGTGGGGGGAGATGGTGGGGGGGTGGTGGTGGGGGGGGTGGTGGGGGGGTGGTGGGGGGGGGGGAGATGGTGGGGAGAGAAGTCAGATTCTGATGATGCCCATAGACTCACACTGATGATGGTGGTGGTAGTGGTGGTGGTTGTGGTGGTGGTGGTAGTGGTGGTGGTACTGGAGGTACTAGAGGTACTGGTGGTGGTACTGGTGGTAGTGAAGGTAGTGGTGGTAGTGGTGGTAGTGGTGGTAGTGGTGGTGGTACTGGAGGTACTAGAGGTACTGGTGGTGGTACTGGTGGTAGTGAAGGTAGTGGTGGTAGTGGTGGTAGTGGTGGTGGTACTGGAGGTAGTAGTGGTGGTACTGGTGGTACTGGTGGTGGTACTGGAGGTACTGGTGGTGGTAGTGGTACTGGAGGTACTAGAGGTACTGGTGGTGGTACTGGAGGTAGTGGTAGTGGTGGTGGTACTGGAGGTAGTGGTGGTGGTAGTGGAAATAGTGGTGGTGGTAGTGGTACTGGAGGTACTGGTGGTAGTGGAGGTAGTGGTGGTGGTACTGCAGGTAGTGGTGGAGGTACTGGAGGTAGTGGTGGTACTGGAGGTAGTGGTGGTGGTACTGGAGGTACTAGAGGTACTAGAGGTACTGGTGGTAGTTAAGGTAGTGGTGGTACTGGAGGTACTAGAGGTACTGGTGGTGGTACTGGAGGTAGTGGTGGTGGTACTGGTGGTAGTGGTGGTAGTGAAGGTAGTGGTGGTAGTGGTGGTACTGGTGGTAGTGAAGGAGGTACTAGAGGTACTGGTGGTGGTACTGGTGGTACTGGTGGTGGTACTGGTGGTGGTACTGGTGGTACCGGAGGTAGTGGTGGTAGTGGTACTAGAGGTACTGTAGGTAGTGGTACTGGAGGTAGTGGTGGTGGTACTGGTGGTAGTGAAGGTAGTGGTGGTACTGGAGGTAGTGGTGGTGGTACTGGAGGTAGTGGTGGTGGTATTGGAGGTACTAGAGGTACTGGTGGTGGTACTGATGGTAGTGAAGGTAGTGGTGGTACTGGAGGTAGTGGTGGTGGTACTGGAGGTAGTGGTGGTACTGGAGGTAGTGGTGGTGGTACTGGAGGTACTAGAGGTACTGGTGGTGGTACTGATGGTAGTGAAGGTAGTGGTGGTACTGGAGGTACTGGTGGTAGTGAAGGTAGTGGTGGTACTGGAGGTACTGGTGGTAGTGAAGGTAGTGGTGGTACTGGAGGTACTGATGGTAGTGAAGGTAGTGGTGGTACTGGAGGTACTGGTGGTAGTGAAGGTAGTGGTGGTACTGGAGGTACTAGAGGTACTGGTGGTAGTGAAGGTACTGGTGGTGCTGGAGGTAGTGGTGGTGGTACTGGAGGTAGTGGTGGTACTGGAGGTAGTGGTGGTGGTAGTGGTGGTAGTGAAGGTAGTGGTGGTACTGGAGGTAGTGCTGGTGGTACTGGTGGTAGTGAAGGAGGTACTAGAGGTACTAGAGGTACTGGTGGTGGTACTGGTGGTACTGGTGGTGGTACTGGAGGTAGTGGTACTAGAGGTACTGTAGGTAGTGGTAGTGGTACTGTAGGTAGTGGTGGTGGTACTAGAGGTAGTGGTAGTGGTACTGGAGGTACTAGAGGTACTGGTGGTGGTACTAGAGGTAGTGGTACTGGTGGTAGTGGTGGTACTGTAGGTAGTGGTGGTGGTACTGTAGGTAGTGGTGGTGGTACTGGTGGTAGTGGTGGTGGTACTGTAGGTAGTGGTGGTGGTAGTGGAGGTAGTGGTGGTGGTACTGTAGGTAGTGGTGGTGGTACTGGTGGTAGCGGTGGTGGTACTGTAGGTAGTGGTGGTGGTACTGTAGGTAGTGGTAGTGGTACTGTAGGTAGTGGTGGTGGTACTGTAGGTAGTGGTAGTGGTACTGTAGGTAGTGGTGGTGGTACTGTAGGTAGTGGTAGTGGTACTGTAGGTAGTGGTGGTGGTACTGTAGGTAGTGGTGGTGGTACTGTAGGTAGTGGTGGTGGTACTGGAGGTAGTGGTAGTGGTGGTACTGTAGGTAGTGGTGGTGGTACTGTAGGTAGTGGTGGTGGTACTGTAGATAGTGGTGGTGGTACTGTAGGTAGTGGTGGTGGTACTGGTGGTACTGTAGGTAGTGGTGGTGGTACTGTAGGTAGTGGTGGTAGTGGTACTAGAGGTACTGTAGGTACTGGTGGTACTGTAGGTAGTGGTGGTACTGTAGGTAGTGGTGGTGGTACTGGTGGTAGTGGTGGTGGTACTAGAGGTAGTGGTGGTAGTGGTACTAGAGGTACTGTAGGTACTGGTGGTACTGTAGGTACTGGTGGTACTGTAGGTAGTGGTGGTGGTACTGTAGGTAGTGGTGGTGGTACTGGAGATAGTGGTAGTGGTGGTACTGTAGGTAGTGGTGGTGGTACTGTAGGTAGTGGTGGTGGTACTGTAGGTAGTGGTGGTGGTACTGTAGGTAGTGGTGGTAGTGGTACTAGAGGTACTGTAGGTACTGGTGGTACTGTAGGTAGTGGTAGTGGTACTGGTGGTAGTGGTGGTACTGTAGGTAGTGGTGGTGGTACTGGAGGTAGTGGTAGTGGTGGTACTGTAGGTAGTGGTGGTGGTACTGTAGGTAGTGGTGGTGGTACTGGTGGTAGTGGTGGTGGTACTAGAGGTAGTGGTACTGGTGGTAGTGGTGGTACTGTAGGTAGTGGTAGTGGTACTGTAGGTAGTGGTGGTGGTACCGGCGATCCTGATGATGGTTGCAACCCAAAAGACTTTGCTGGGGAGGCTGCAGTCGGTGCTGAGGACCTCCAACTTGACACCCAGCGTGGCGCTAGAGAAGGCGGCACACAGACCCAGCTGGAGACACACACAGTGAGACACACACAGTGAGACACACACAGTGAGACACACACAGTGAGACACACACAGTGAGACACACACAGTGAGACACACACAGTGAGACACACACAGTGAGACACACACACAGTGAGACACACACAGTGACACAGTGAGACACACACAGTGACACCCAGCGTGGCGCTAGAGAAGGCGGCACACAGACCCAGCTGGAGACACACACAGTGAGACACACACAGTGAGACACACACAGTGAGACAGTGAGACACACACACAGTGAGACAGTGAGACACACACAGTGAGACACACACAGTGACACACACAGTGAGACACAGTGAGACAGTGAGATAGTGAGACAGTGAGACACACACAGTGAGACACACACAGTGAGACACAGTGAGACAGTGAGATAGTGAGACAGTGAGACACACACAGTGAGACACACACAGTGACACAGTGACACACACAGTGACACACACAGTGAGACAGTGAGATAGTGAGACAGTGAGACACACACAGTGAGACACACACAGTGACACAGTGACACACACAGTGACACCCAGCGTGGCGCTAGAGAAGGCGGCACACAGACCCAGCTGGAGACACACACAGTGAGACACACACAGTGAGACACAGTGAGACAGTGAGACAGTGAGATAGTGAGACAGTGAGACACACACAGTGAGACACACACAGTGAGACACACACAGTGAGACACAGTGAGACAGTGAGATAGTGAGACAGTGAGACACACACAGTGAGACACACACAGTGACACACACAGTGAGACACACACAGTGAGACACACACAGTGAGACACACACAGTGAGACACAGTGAGACAGTGAGACAGTGAGATAGTGAGACAGTGAGACACACACAGTGAGACACACACAGTGACACACACAGTGAGACACACACAGTGAGACACACACAGTGAGACACACACAGTGAGACACACACAGTGAGACACAGTGAGACAGTGAGACAGTGAGATAGTGAGACAGTGAGACACACACAGTGAGACACACACAGTGACACAGTGACACAGTGACACACACAGTGACACACACAGTGAGACACAGTGAGACAGTGAGATAGTGAGACAGTGAGACACACACAGTGAGACACACACAGTGACACAGTGACACACACAGTGAGACACACACAGTGACACACACAGTGAGACACAGTGAGACAGTGAGATAGTGATTCAGTGAGACACACACAGTGAGACACACACAGTGACACAGTGACACACACAGTGAGACACACACAGTGAGACACACACAGTGACACAGTGACACACAAAGTGACACACACAGTGACACACACAGTGACACACACAGTGAGACAGTGAGATAGTGAGACAGTGAGACACACACAGTGAGACACACACAGTGACACAGTGACACACACAGTGACACACACAGTGAGACAGTGAGATAGTGAGACAGTGAGACACACACAGTGAGACACACACAGTGACACAGTGACACACACAGTGACACCCAGCGTGGCGCTAGAGAAGGCGGCACACAGACCCAGCTGGAGACACACACAGTGAGACACACACAGTGAGACACACACAGTGAGACACAGTGAGACAGTGAGACAGTGAGATAGTGAGACAGTGAGACACACACAGTGAGACACACACAGTGAGACACAGTGAGACAGTGAGATAGTGAGACAGTGAGACACACACAGTGAGACACACACAGTGAGACAGTGAGACACACACAGTGAGACACACACAGTGAGACACACACAGTGACACAGTGACACACACAGTGACACCCAGCGTGGCGCTAGAGAAGGCGGCACACAGACCCAGCTGGAGACACACACAGTGAGACACACACAGTGACACACACAGTGAGACACAGTGAGACAGTGAGACAGTGAGATAGTGAGACAGTGAGACACACACAGTGAGACACACACAGTGACACAGTGACACACACAGTGAGACACACACAGTGAGACACAGTGAGACAGTGAGACACAGTGAGACAGTGAGATAGTGAGACAGTGAGACACACACAGTGAGACACACACAGTGACACAGTGACACACACAGTGAGACACACACAGTGACACACACAGTGAGACACAGTGAGACAGTGAGATAGTGAGACAGTGAGACACACACAGTGAGACACACACAGTGACACAGTGACACACACAGTGAGACACACACAGTGAGACACACACAGTGAGACACAGTGAGACAGTGAGATAGTGAGACAGTGAGACACACACAGTGAGACACACACAGTGACACAGTGACACACACAGTGACACACACAGTGAGACACAGTGAGACAGTGAGATAGTGAGACAGTGAGACACACACAGTGAGACACACACAGTGACACACACAGTGACACAGTGACACACACAGTGACACAGTGACACACACAGTGACACAGTGACACACACAGTGACACAGTGACACACACACAGTGAGACACACACAGTGAGACAGTGACACACACAGTGACACACACACAGTGACACCCAGCGTGGCGCTAGAGAAGGCGGCACACAGACCCAGCTGGAGACACACACAGTGAGACACACACAGTGAGACACAGTGAGACAGTGAGACAGTGAGATAGTGAGACAGTGAGGCACACACAGTGAGACACACACAGTGACACAGTGACACACACAGTGACACACACAGTGAGACACAGTGAGACAGTGAGATAGTGAGACAGTGAGACACACACAGTGAGACACACACAGTGAGACACAGTGAGACAGTGAGATAGTGAGACAGTGAGACACACACAGTGAGACACACACAGTGACACAGTGACACACACAGTGAGACACACACAGTGAGACACAGTGAGACAGTGAGATAGTGAGACAGTGAGACACACACAGTGAGACACACACAGTGACACAGTGACACACACAGTGACACCCAGCGTGGCGCTAGAGAAGGCGGCACACAGACCCAGCTGGAGACACACACAGTGAGACACACACAGTGAGACAGTGAGACACACACAGTGAGACACACACAGTGAGACACAGTGAGACAGTGAGACAGTGAGATAGTGAGACAGTGAGACACACACAGTGAGACACAGTGAGACAGTGAGACAGTGAGATAGTGAGACAGTGAGACACACACAGTGAGACACACACAGTGACACAGTGACACACACAGTGAGACACACACAGAGACACACACAGTGAGACACACACAGTGACACAGTGACACACACAGTGAGACACACACAGTGACACACACAGTGAGACAGTGAGATAGTGAGACAGTGAGACACACACAGTGAGACACACACAGTGACACAGTGACACACACAGTGAGACACACACAGTGACACACACAGTGAGACACAGTGAGACAGTGAGATAGTGAGACAGTGAGACACACACAGTGAGACACACACAGTGACACACACAGTGACACCCAGCGTGGCGCTAGAGAAGGCGGCACACAGACCCAGCTGGAGACACACACACAGTGAGACACACACAGTGAGACACAGTGAGACAGTGAGATAGTGAGACACACACAGTGAGACACACACAGTGACACAGTGACACAGTGAGACACACACAGTGACACAGTGACACACACAGTGAGACACACACAGTGACACACACAGTGAGACACAGTGAGACAGTGAGATAGTGAGACAGTGAGACACACACAGTGAGACACACACAGTGACACAGTGACACACACAGTGAGACACACACAGAGACACACACAGTGAGACACACACAGTGACACAGTGACACACACAGTGAGACACACACAGTGACACACACAGTGAGACACAGTGAGACAGTGAGATAGTGAGACAGTGAGACACACACAGTGAGACACACACAGTGACACAGTGACACACACAGTGAGACACACACAGTGACACACACAGTGAGACACAGTGAGACAGTGAGATAGTGAGACAGTGAGACACACACAGTGAGACACACACAGTGACACAGTGACACACACAGTGACACCCAGCGTGGCGCTAGAGAAGGCGGCACACAGACCCAGCTGGAGACACACACAGTGAGACACACACAGTGAGACACAGTGAGACAGTGAGACAGTGAGATAGTGAGACAGTGAGACACACACAGTGAGACACACACAGTGAGACACACACAGTGAGACACACACAGTGAGACAGTGAGACACACACAGTGAGACACACACAGTGAGACACACACAGTGAGACACACACAGTGAGACACACACAGTGAGACACACACAGTGAGACACACACACAGTGAGACACACACAGTGAGACACAGTGAGACAGTGAGATAGTGAGACAGTGAGACACACACAGTGAGACACACACAGTGACACAGTTAGACAGTGAGACACACACAGTGAGACACACACAGTGAGACACACACAGTGACACACACAGTGACACAGTGACACACACAGTGACACAGTGACACACACACAGTGAGACACACACAGTGAGACAGTGACACACACAGTGACACAGTGACACACACACAGTGACTCCCAGCGTGGCGCTAGAGAAGGCGGCACACAGACCCAGCTGGAGACACACACAGTGAGACACACACAGTGAGACACACACAGTGAGACAGTGAGACAGTGAGATAGTGAGACAGTGAGACACACACAGTGAGACACACACAGTGACACAGTGACACACACAGTGAGACACACACAGTGACACACACAGTGAGACACAGTGAGACAGTGAGATAGTGAGACAGTGAGACACACACAGTGAGACACACACAGTGACACAGTGACACACACAGTGACACACACAGTGACACCCAGCGTGGCGCTAGAGAAGGCGGCACACAGACCCAGCTGGAGACACACACAGTGAGACACACACAGTGAGACACACACAGTGAGACAGTGAGACACACACAGTGAGACAGTGAGACACACACAGTGAGACACACACAGTGAGACACAGTGAGACAGTGAGATAGTGAGACAGTGAG